GAAGATACAGGAAGTCTTAACAATATAAAAGTGGTCAAGAATCTATTCTTTGGAAGAACACAAGAAGAGAGACTACAAACAAGAAGATACCTGATAAAAAGCCTTATAATCAAAAGAAAAAAAGCAGAAATTATAGAGAGGATAGAAGATAAAGACATAAGAAGCAAAGTGCTTGACACGATTAAGAAGAAGTTCAATAAAAGGTTCAGGACTTATGTCTAAAACTTCAGATACGAACTACTAAACGACTGAGAAAAAGAAAAAGAAATCACCAAGGAAGTCAAAAGAAGAAAAATAATGGTACGAAAGAAGAAAACAATACAGGATACAAGCAACAAAGAAAACAAGATCGCAGAAAAAGAAGAACAGAAAAAGACCTATGAAGAAAAAGAAAAGCAAATACTAAATATAGTAAAAAAAAATAGTCAAAACTTAATCAAATATCGCACCAAATCAGATTGGTCCTCCTGGACCAATATTACTAAAAGAAAATATTGATATTGACAAAATCAGTAGCCTTAGCTAAGGATCAGAGAAACCAAATTCTCAAAAAATTGAGGATCTAACATGAAGCAAATTGGCTGCTTAGGTGAGTCATATCTGGGCTTTAATACCGAGTGAGTCTTTATTAGTACAGGAATATAGTATAGAAAATTTATATTTATTGTAAATGTAAAATTCTGGTACTTCTAACTTAAATAATAAAAACAGGATTGCCAAAAAAAAAATCTAGTTATATAGTACTTTGGACACTTTTAGATACTTGAATACTTGAGAGTAGAATGTAATATATATATTAAAAAGCATATATATTATCAGTAAATCATTTTATTATAATAAAACAACAGATACACAAATACAAGCTATAAACAATTCTTTTTTGTATATTATAAAAATTAATAAAAAAAATATACAAATTCTTGAAAAGCTCTAGTTTTATAAAAGTTTATTAAAGTATCAATTTTTTATTTTTTTTTTAAATTTTTTGTATCATAAAATTTATCAGTAAAACTTTTTGATTTACCGGTAAAACTTAATATTCTAGAACGTATATTCAAATATTCTAGAATAAAAATCTGGTATAAAAATTTAATAAAACAATCACAAAACTATATAGCTATTAAGAGAGATGATAATATCTGATTAGTACATGATATATATCAATTAACAGTTTTGGAACATCATAAAAATATGGGTTCTCTAGTATTAAAACAAAATCAAGTTACAATATCAAGTACAATAGTAGGTTATTATATACCAAGTAATACAGAACATGTATCAGATTAGATTCCTTTACTACCGGGTTATACAATATATACAAAAATATCAAATATTTGTATAAAATTATTGATTCTTTTAGACGAAAATGATACACTACAGTTTGAATAGATCGTATATGAAAATGTTATATTTCAAATACCTATAAATTCTGGTGTCGATTATTCTTTGTTCAAATCATTTTCTTATTATAAATTAAAAAACTAAGATATTTCTTGGTTATTAGATTTTATAAATATTGATAATAATAATTTTTTGTATATAACTATTTACCAAATTTTCTAGACCTGTATTCTGATTACCATAAAGTAATACAATACTTTCAAAAAAAATATACTAAAAAAATCATTATAGTGAAAAAGCAAAGAAATTGATCAAATTCTTTAGTATAAATAATCAAATATACAACATAATGTAATTTTTGAATATGATGATAAAAATCTCTCAACCAAAGAAATTCAAACCCTTATAGTTAAATATAATGAGCTTGTTGCTTGTATATACAACCAAAATTGCAAAATATTATATTTACAACAGCAAGTTGAATTACTTCAAGATCTATATAAACAAAAAATTAATTTTGAGAATTCTAGTCAGAGTATAGAAGAACAAATTAATCAAGCAATTAAAAACAACCAATTAGATTCTATAATTCTTGTTGATACAAGACAATATCTAACACTTATAATTTCACAACTTTGTTCTAATTTTCAAAATTATAATAATTCTAAAAAATAGAGATAAGTAAAAATAGATTCATAGTTAAATGTTTAGTAAAGTATAGCAATTGTCAAACATATATAGAATATACAAATAAATCAATCAATATGAATTTTTCTGCTTCATTTGCTATGGCTGGTCTTGCTAGAGAGATTTTAAGAAATATATTGCAAACTGTTTTTGCTACTTTAGAAATAACTTCACAGATTTCAAAAAAAACATACTAATATATTAATAAAAAATATTTGCAAAAATTATAGATTTGGCAAAAAAATCTGCTTCACTAGCTCTTCAAAAATGTATAGAATATATAATTAATTTACCAGATCCTATTTTTTTATTAGATAATTTGATGAATATAAAAAAATTTCTGTCAGATTTGATATATCTTAGTTATATTATCAATCAGCTAATCAAGGAAGTGGCAAGTTTATTTTTCAAATAACAATTCCAGATAATAAAATAAAATTCTATATTATTTTATATTTTACAAATTAAATAAATATATAATTTGTTAAGTATTATTATTATTTTGTATAAGGATATATTTACAAACCTATAATTGCTTTTCATGTAACTGAAAAATCCCAATTAGTAAAAGATATTAGAACTAGAGTTGTTAAAACTATACATAAAGAAAATTTTACAGTAAGTTCTAAACAAATAGAACATGCAATACTTATTAACCTATTAGAAACTATAAAACCGTATCTTCAAGAAAATCAATTATTATTAGATGTGTGTCTTGATAAAGATCTCGATTTTAACAAAACACTTGGACATAAGCTAATTGTAAATAGAATATATGCAGATTTGAAATATATAAGCAAAAATATTCAAAAAAATATTCGTAAGTATAAATAATATCTATAAATTTAATTTAGCTCTATAATTAAAAAAATATATATTATTTAAAGGTTACAAAAAATATATTACATTTCATAAATTTGAATAACATATAATGAGATAGTTTAATAGATACATATTTATAGCTGAATATCACCTACAAGATCCTAATCAACCAACACCATCAGAGGAAGAACTAAGAGAAATACAAGTAGAAGGTTTAATTAACTATCTTTTAGATAAGTATGAATTATGTTGAAGTGAAATTTGTTGGGTTAAGCATGATTCCAGTATCAAATTACAATCACCAACCTTAATAGATTGTACAGATATAATAATCGCAAATTTTGCAAGATGCTATTGACATGTTGTCGAATTCCAACAGGACAAGAATTAGTAACAATATATAGAACATCACAAAATAAGGTATTTAATCGTATAAAACTTGTATACCTTGATAAGAAAATAGATTACTAGAATTCTTTTGAAGCACATTATGCACTAGCTATTCTTCATAATAATGATGGTTATTTAAGTATATTAGCAGATCTTTATCAATTCCATCGGGAAAATAAATATGATGCAGATCTGCAAAGATCTGCTACCCTGCTAAAAAATGACAAATTTTACTATATCTCATGAACCAGTAATCAAAACTCGATGATTTTGGTACCAT